GATAGCGACCTCATATGTACTCCATTTGTACCAACAAACAATCAAATAGCAGATATTCTTACAAAAGGATTGAACAACATCAACTTTGAGCATTTGATTAACAAGCTGGGAATAGAAAATATTCATTCACCAGCTTGAGGGGGAGTGTTAAATTATAGTTTATTTTATTTTAAAGGTTTCCTATTTTATTTAGGTTGGGGTTTTATTCTTCTAATAGGTAAGTGTTTCCTTATCCTAATAGGCAAGAATTTCTTTTTAGTTTCTTCTTTGTGACTGTTATTTATAGCCTTGTATCAATCATTTGTGGTAATCAAGTAAGAATTATTTTCTTTTCTTATCAATTAACACAAGAACCGATTGGTCTTGACACGGTCATCATCTTTGATACCAACTATCCTACAGATGTACCATAACACAGTGGTTGGAGGACACTCGGGCTTCCTGAGAACATACAAGAGACTGACAGGAGAGTTGTATTGGCCAGGGATGAAGGAAGATGCGAAACACCATGTCAGTGAATGTGAGGTGTGTCAAAGGCACAAAGCAGAGTCATTAGCCCCCACATGGCTTCTTCAGCCTCTACCGCTACTCGACCGCATTTGGGAGTATTTGACGATGGATTTCGTAGACGGCTTGCCTAAATCAATGGGGCAGGACACGATTCTGGTGGTGGTAGACTGCTTAAGTAAGTACGCACATTTCATTCCTTTGAGTCATCCTTTTTCAGCTGAGATTGTAGCTATGGCTTTCATTAAGGAAATTGTTAGGCTTCACGGTTTCCCGAGGTCCATCATCTCAGATAGGGATAAAGTATTTATCAGCCATTTTTAGACGGAGTTATTTAGGTTGCAAGGAACCACCTTGAAGTGGAGCACCGCCTATCACCCTTAGACAGACGGGCAATCAGAGAGAGTGAATCGTTGTCAAGAAACATATTTGAGATGCTTTTGTAGTGAGAAGCCTAAGCACCGGGGGCAATGGTTGGCGTGGGCAGAGCATTGGTATAACACCACATACCACAACTCCCTGAGTTCCACACCATTCCAAGCAGTGTACGGAGAGCCCCTCCACCATTGATATCATATGGAAGTCAGAAAACAGACAATGTCACTCTGGATCAGCAACTCAGCTAGAGAGACCTTGCTCTTGCCCGACTAAAGAAGCACTTGCAGAAAGCTCAAGATCGTATGAAGAAACAAGCAGATAAGTCGCGTAGAGAGGTGGAATATGATGTTGGGGATCTAGTGTTCCTAAAAGTGCGACCATACCGCAAACCCTCTCTAGCCAAACGAAGGAACGAGAAGCTGCAGCCTAAGTTCTTCGGGCCCTATGCAGCCTTACAGCGGATTGGCAAGGTTGCCTATCTCTTGGACCTACCAGTGGGAGCCCGAATTCATCATGTCTTCCATGTGTCACAACTGAAGAAAGCTATTGGGACCGCATCAGCAGCTCAACTAATCACAACACAGCTCACAGAAGATTGGGAGTGGATCGCTGAACCAGATTTGGTGTTTGCATTTCAGAACACAATCCCACTACGGGAGAGAGGGAAGTCCTAATCAACTGGAAGGGTTTACCTGAAGAAGAAGCCAGTTGCCAGTTGGGAGACT